GAATGATGTTGCATCGATATTTGCATAAACAAAAACCAAAAACCCGATGTGAAAGGAACAGGGTGGCCTTGGGGTGGGGTTTTAGCTTTCGCGCGACGCGCCGTGGACGACCCCCTTGGGTCGAGGCGCGGCGCTTCAGTTGGCAAACCCTAAAACCCTAAAGCCCTAAAACCCAAAACCCCTCAATCCGAACCCGAAAGCCTCACTCAGGAGAGGTTGGTCATTATCAGCTGGGCAGTCCTGATCTTGACCCTCGGCCATCCTGATGTAGAGAGCATCGGGTTTTAGGGTCTTAGGGTTTAGGGTTTAGGGTTCTAGGGTTTTAGGATTTAGGGTTTAGGGTTTAGAGTTTTAGAGTTTTAGGGTTTAGGGTTTTAGAGTTTTAGGGTTTATAGGGGTGAAAGACCGCAAAAAGCTCTGTGGTTTTGCAGGGTTTAGGGTTCGGGCGGCTTTGGGTCGTGTGTTTCCAGGCATCCCGTGCTCTACTCTGAAAGGCGGCTGGGTTGGTGAGTGAATCTTGCAAAGCTGAGGTAGGGGTTTAGGGTTTAGGGTTTAGGGTTTAGGGAATTCCTCAACGGCTCCCACGTTCTACGGATCATTCTGGCCATCATACTCATGTCGAGCGCCGACGCATGAGCAACATGATCCCGCTACTGTACTGTTGTTTATTCACATCTGCTCGTACCTTAGTAGACCCTACCCAAGACCAAGTTCAATTAAAACAAGATAATTCAAAAAGGAGCTACGGTGGATGCTGCTAGTGGGACACTTCTCGCTCCGAGTCAGTCCACCCCGAATCCTAAACCTTAAACCCTTTTCCCGGATGCAGATACCCTCTGCAAACCCTCAACGCATCCCTTCAAACCCTAAACCCCCGCACCCTTAACACTAAACCCTTATCCCTGATCCCTAAACCCCTAAAGCCTAAACCCCCAAACCCCTAAAGCCCTCAACCCCCTATACCCCCCAAACCCCTAAACCCCGAAGCACCCCACCCCCGTATAGATCCCCTGATCGAACCCTTATAGATCCCTTTAAAGGAACCCCTTATAGATCCCTTCAAAGGAACCCAGAGACTCCAAAACCCCTTAGTTAAGGAATATACCTTAAATCATATTAGGGATCCTATTACAATTTAAGGTATACTCCTTAACTACGGGGTTTTGGAATCTCTGGAAAACCACAAACCCCAAACCCTAAACCCTACACCTAAACCCTAAACCCTCAACCCTAAACCCTCAACCCTCAACCCTCAACCCTAAAACCTAAAACCTAAAACCTAAAACCTTAAAACCCTAATCCCTAAACCCTAAAACCCTACACCCGAAAACCCCCAAAGGCAGATCATGCTCTTCGCCTTCTTCGCGTTGCCGGCGCAAGGAGTTTCCTTCACCTGTCGGCCCCTTGGTCTGCGGTTGACTAAGGGGTTTAGGGGTTTAGGGGTTTAGGGTTTAGGGTTTAGGGGTTTAGGGTTTAGGGGTTTCGGGTTTAGGGTTTAGGGTTTAGGGTCTAGGGGTTGAGGGGTAGAGGGGTTTAGGGGTTTAGGGTTTAGGGGTTTAGGGGTTTAGGGTTTAGGGGTTTAGGGTTTAGGGTTTAGGGTTTAGGGTTTAGGGTTTAGGGTCTAGGGGTTTAGGGGTTTAGGGTTCTCAGAAG